GGAATTGAGAGTTAGTTAGCTGTACTAGTCTGAAGTTAGGCAAAAGGCGAAGTAAAGCTGCAACTTATTTCATTCATTACCTGTGTTCTCTGCAAAGCAGGGGGTATCATGCATCTCCAAAATAGTTTATAAGGTGCAACTATACCCTGCCTTCTGCCCAGCTTCAGACTAACACAGCTAACTACCTGATTCTGCATACAGATTTCATAGGCATTAGGGCTGGAACGGACCTCGCAAAATCATCAGGTCCATATAACAAACCCTCACGAAGTCTGAACAGCAATTCATGAAACACCTTCTATAAATGTCGCATCTGCAGAAAAGAATTTGAATGATCTTTTGCCCTTGACTCTCATTAACCACCTCTGGTTGCTTTATAAGCCACACCTCCAAAAGAGGATGGGAGGAGATGTACAAAAATCTGTTTTACAATAATTACCAGTATCATTTTAGGCTGCAATCTCTGAATTTTCAAGATAAGAAAAGTTCAATCAAATTGGCAAGTGATGGCAAAACTCCCAGGAACACATATGGTATACAAATGCTACATAACAGGGCAGAGGGCTGCTGCTGCCCAGCACAGGCCAGAGTTTGCACTCTACAGTGGAGGAGAGCACAACCAAGGGGATGAGTGGCATGGTGCAGCTCTGTGCCATGAGCTCCCTCGCTGGATCAGATCTCTTTGTGGGCCAGATCTAGTCTGCACACCATAGGCTGCCAACCCCTACTATATAATAATGCATCAAGGATTGGACATTCTCTCCCAGTCAGTAACAAGACAATGTTACAGAAAGAATACAATGTTGCTGGAGGCACCATTTGATTAGGAGTCATGCCATCACTGCAACTGTGTCTTAGGCCAGTGGCTTAGCCAAATTCAAATATAATTAACATTATATTTCCCAGCAGTTTTATTTCTCAAACTAACAGTGCTGCAGGATACTACTAAACAACTATTATGTCCCATGCAAAAAGTGGCTGCACTTCAGTGGGTATATAAGCATTTTTCTTTGTAAAGCAAGTTAAGTGCTTTGGAATGTTTTATCATCATCATGGATAGTTTCTTTTCAAATAAGCAAGGTAAATAAAATTAAAAAGTGTCAGATTGAGGTTTAAAACATTCCCTGCCAATAGCTTTACAAAAAAGGAAATTCAATAGTATAAAAACATTTTCAGTAGTAACAACAGGTCTGTGGTGAAGCTGGGAAGTCTCCTGTACTTCTGAAATTGCTCCAAAATAGCAATACAAAATGTAGCTGAAGGAAAAGACATGGGGATTGTCCACAGTAAAACAAGACCTTACCCAGCCTAAAGTGCATGAACCTTGTGTAACTTTGGGGGGATTAATTCAGCACGAGGAACTCACAAGTGATCCCTTCAACAAAAATTTAACTTTATTTCCAATATAAGACTAATCACAGCTCATTTATAATTCTACAGAACTATAATTCATATAAACAGATTTACAATTATAATTAATAGTAAAAGAACACATGAACACTTACCCTGCATTATTACTGACTGCAGTTAGTCCTTTGACTCCAATCTTCAATAAGCCCCCAATAAGGTTCTCTGGAATTCCGCACAGCCCAAAACCTAGGAAAAATACAAGTAAACAAGGGATGTAACAACCATTCTGGCCCAATTAGATTCATCCTAAGAAGTGAATATGTGCAGCATATAGGCTGGAGGGGGGGGGGGGGGGGGGGAGAAAAAAAAAAAAAAAAAAAAATCACAAAAAAAATATCATCACAGACTGACCTGAAGGGACTAAAACTGCTTCCAGGTGAACAAGCTGTCTAATTCTTAGAGAAAATGTCATTCAGAACAGAAATTAAAGGTTATTTCCAATAAGGGACTTGGGCACCTCAATTCTGCATAAGCCAAACCCCATGCCCTCCAGTCAACTGCCTAATGCAGGCTATACATATACTACAAAGACACCTTGTTTGACTTGAAAGCACTGTAGCTGCTGAGAGTGATGCTTAGGTGCATGCCCAGGACTGTCCCAGTGAGCAGCTCAGCACATACCCACGGATCAAGAAAAATCCAAAAACTAGGCTTTCTTCTGTCAAAGCTCCCTAAGAGTGCCAGTCTGGTAAGCAAGCTCACACCACACTGAGCAGAGACACGAAATTCCTTACAAAAATGCTTCCTTTGGACAAGGAGGCTGGCTTCTGGTTCTCACCTGGTATAACAGATTTGTCATACAAACGCTGGCCCAAGAAGTGAAAAGCCTACGAAACTCCCTCCTCAGGCTTGGAGAGTTTAAACCCACATTTCCCAGCTACTTGGAGAGCATCCTAGCCACCACGCTATGTAGGTCAAATAGAACCATCTCTACCTCTCCTGTTGAAGTAGGTCCATTCTGCAGCACATAATTCAAGATTTGCTGGGAGGCAAAGGGAAAGGAGAAAGCCAAAAATAGGGACCAGACTCTAGGTCCCTCCCCTCCCAGGAGATTCTACCCATTAAGATACAGTCCAGCTCCTTCTTGCTTCCTGTTCTAGCTCCAAATCTCTTGAATTCTGTGTTGCTCAGTGGCCCAACTTCAACAAAGTGTGGAGTCTGGGTCTTAGGGCTCCCTGCATATGGGTGGGAGATGTTGGTTTGAACCTTCTAAAGGTGAGGAGAGAATTAAATCTTCCTGGGTGAGTGCTTTAACCACCAAGCCAATGCATAAAACTTAGGCAGCATCCCCACCACCACTTGAAAAGAAAACAGCAAGTCTTACTCAGATAGATATATCTATAAACATCTATAATATAGATCTATCTTTATCTATATATTTTATTAGTTGTAATAATATATTAGTTATTAGTGGCTACCTTCAAGGGAGGATCCTGAGGTCTTGACTTGGAGTCGAAGATGGTACCTGCCTGCACCTCTGAATTAGGTGGCTAAGCCATGCAGAGAGGGTGGGTTTTGGACTCTCTCCTGTCCTGAGAAATTCCTTACTTGTTAGTTATAAGCAGCTTCCTGCTGCCAGTCCTGGCAGTTTTGGATCCTGATCTGAGAGTGCATCCACACCATACACTAGATCCAAAGCTAACTCCATGTGAACTAGCTCAGGACTAGAAGCAGGACAACTGTGGTAGCAGGAGCTCCCTGTCAACTAATTTACACACTGATGCTCAATTCGTACACACAGTGTAAGGAACCCATGTACCTAACAGAGGGCTCTGGATTCCTCTGAGTGGGTCCAGAAAGTCATATGTTGTAGTGCCTGAGTTCTTTAAATTGAATCCAGTCCTGGGACTTTAACTATGCAACTCCCCTGACCATGAGAATGCCTCTTCCCTGATCTCTGCTGTGGCTTCCCCTCTTCTGCAACATCACAGTCAAACTTTGTGTCAGTTTCAAACAAGAGACAGTTCTTCCTCCTTCCCCTGCCCTACCCCCCTCCCTTCCCCCATAAACACACACTTCCAATCCAGTCAGGTTTCATTCCTGGAAACTCTCTTTGTGTCAAACTCTGATCTCTTTTACAAAGGTGCAAATTCTGATCCCAGTTACTTCGGATGATCTTCATCATGATTCTCATCTTCGTGCCTACTATTTCTGTACTCTGGTTCACCTACAGAATCCCTTTTACCCATGCCCCCACCCCCCAAAAAAAACCCCAAAACACCTTGTGAAAAGCCATCCCTCCCTTCCATGAAACTTTCCAGCTAAAATGCCAACTACCCATCCTATCTTTACTGGAGATTGTAAACTCTGAAAGCCACTAATTATGTTCTTAGGAATAATCACTGAACTATGGCATTATGCACAGTATAGATCCTTTTATAAAATGTGCATTCCCCTTTGACTTAGCTGTTATAAATTCATGGGATCTATTTTTCTGAAGTTATTACATGCACTCCTTAAAAAACAATTCTACCCAGTCTACTACTTACAAACTTTTTCAAGATTATGTGCATTTTTGGCCTCTAAGTAGGACAGACAGAAATGTACACTTATAATATGATACAAAGCATCACCAATCTAGTAGTAAACAGAAACTGTAGCATTGATAAAACTTAGATCAGTCTTAATAAGTAACAGTGTCCATATTCATAACAGTGTGGGGTTTCAAAGTTAAAAAGAAATAAACATTTAGACTCAAGTTTTCAAAAACATCCAAGCCCCACAGAAAGTAAATAAAATTTAAGTTTGAAGATAAAAATCCATATCAGTTGACACCTGTACCACATTGTTCACATTAGGTAACAGGCACAGAGAGGCTTATGATCTGTTTAAGGTCATATTAAGTCAGGTACAATGCTTAAAAAAAAGGGTACTCTATCAGAAATTGAATCTTTTAAATTAGTCAATTAAGTGTACTGACAGGATAAGCAGAAGTGTACTGACAGGAACATTGCAAAATATCCATCCATGAAGGAATATAAAATTATTTATATTTTAATTATTTGCAATTAATACTTACCACCAACAAGTAGTGTGGCCCCATCAGGTATGTCTTTTACTGCTTCTACCGGATCAGTATAGAACTTGGTGTTCAGCTGATTGCTGGTAGAAAAATAGCAGCTGCAGCTCTGTAAAACCAGTACAAGAAGCCAGCATGAAGCACGTGAATGTTTTGAATTGCTCCTCTTATACAGAGCATCCCATAAACTGTGTAGCGTGGAGATAATGGATATGACTAGACTACTAGTAGTACTAATTGTATTACTCCAAGTGCAGATTAAGGGCTAAACCCTGTTCCACGTACTCACATCAGTGGTGCACATGCAGGCATCTAACTGCAGTTTTTGGTACAACTCTGGGCAAGCAGGTGTATATACCCACTGAACATGCTCAATGAGACTGAACTCTGGCCAGGAAGGTATGCAATAACACACCCCTCCATTCAGGTGCACACATAAGGCTCTGGAGGCCTAGAACAAAACCCCATGAGGATGCTATATGTCAGAAGGGGAGAAGGGTCCTCCCCTGTTTTAGCCCAATAGACTACTAGAGGGATTTTAAATTTGCAACTCCTGCTTTCTAGCACCAAGGCAGAAGTCTGGCATTATTCAAAGCCCTCTGGGTAAAGGAAGGCCTTGAATCTGGGTCCCTCACTCCTTGGGTAAGTGTCCCAACTGCAGCGAAACTATTGGGCTACAACATGAAAGTGCCCTCCTCTTTCACCTCTACTGGCATTGCTGCCATCAGCTATGCCACAGGGCAATTCTGTATCACCAGAAGGCAAAACAGAATCTGAAACTTTGTGCAAATGCTCGAAACTGTTCTATATGAACCATATTGGCACATTAGATGGGATAAGTTTTATCCCTAAGTCTTTTTATTTTTGGAGGGGAATCTGGGTGAGACTCCAGCAACTCCAGGGAACCAGCATCGGCCTGATTCTGGAACTAACAAAGTACTGGCCTGGTCCTCAGTATAAGCAAGAGCAACCCAAGGACTTCTTGTATGTAGCTTTGAAGGTTGTTCAAGTAGCCAGAAATGTTTGAGGCTTAAAACTAACCTAGTCAGAATACCTGTAGCTGAGGCCAAGGAAGATTCAGAGCCACTATGGTAGGAGCAGACTAGCTAGAGATTCTCACAAGGCAAAACAATCCTTTCCATGAGAAAGTCATGTGCATGAAGAGATTTGCTGTACATATTCGAAATGTGTTTCCCCTCCATATGAAGCAAACTGGATATGTAAAACTGGAAATATACATAACTGAATGGCTGTAGTACTACAGTGGACTCTATTTATGTGCCCAGCCTCAGGTGTCAGAGCCTATACACTTACTCAAAGTATAGATTTACCTAATCTCAATGCAATGCAATGTAAACAACGCTCATTAACTACAGAAACAACCTGTACTAAGCTTTTAGCACCTCATTAAGGCTCCTTCTCTTGTTTGTCCCAGTGCCTGGGCTGCAATCCTAAAACTAACAGGAACACACAGTTCAAAGCTCCTTGAGCAACCTTGACATTGATGGCTCCTTGTCAATTAATGGAAGTACAACTACCTCCATAGTAGATAGTATTATTAAAATTCCCTAAGCACTTAAGTGGGTTAAACTATAGGCAGATAACTGATGTTTGCTACAAGGTAAGCAACAAGCAAACAATTGGGACCAGCACCCTGTTTTGAGTTGAGCAAGTTATGCAAGTGTCCAACATGCATGTAAGTAGAGTACTAGGACACCAGCAGCAATCAACATTTAAGCCAGCCTGTCATACTGACATAGTCTGGGCCACAGGATACATGGCAGTTAAAATATTGGTAAAGGTGTTTCCACAAGTGGAGCTACTGTTGTGGAAGGAAATTTTGGAAGAGAAAAATCTTATTTATATACATTTTAAGATAGTGATTTATTTCTTCCCTAATGAGTTCTTTTCAGTTTGAATTATAATCACTATCATGGTATTTGGCCTACTTCTAAGACTTCAGAAAACTGGCTGTTTCATCAGTGAAAATAAAAACAGTAGTATTTACATGAACTATCAGGGAAAACATCCTGATAGGATGGAGGTGTCATGCTACCTCAAGGGGAGTGCAGAAGTTCCCTTCCTCTGGATTATAACATAGATTATTTTCTATGCACACTGACTAAATTGTGTAACTCCAGAGAGCATAGTACTAAAATAGAATACAGTTAGGTTAAGAGACAACTGCTACTTATGTTGCATTACAGTTACTTACTTTGGAGCACAATGGCAACAGCATTATGCACAAGTCGTCACACATCTGGACTTTTTTGTGAATTTATGCACAACAAAAGTCTACAGGCAACATATCTGGCTAAAATTTATATGCAATAAAATTTATATGCAACAATAATAGCTCACCATAAGGTAAAAACTTTGTTAAGCAACCACTAAAGGATCTCTTAGAGACAGACTAATAATGATGTTCTTCTGTACAGAGTTTAGTGTATGGCGTTGCTTTGACACAAATGGTGTCAGTGCAGTGGTGCTATGCTTTGAAACTAATATTTCTTCCTTCCAATAACAGATTCCAAATGCAGATCTTTTAACTTAAGTGTATAATTCTTAAGTGTCCAGTAATAAAATTGTATGTTACAGCTCCACACGTGGCTGAAATACGACTCTTGTTTCACTCAAGTAATCATCTATATCATTTTCCTTAGCTGTACATATCCTTATCTTACAGAACCATACCAAGATGAAACAAACTGAGATTCCCATTGTTAAATGCCCTTTGCTTTCACTGGAACTGCGAGCCTATCACTGATAATTTCCATTGTATCACTATGTCCTTAAATTACTGATTGTAATAAGCAGCAGCTACTGGCATCCAATACTGCCTACACTTCTGGTCAGCTGGTATCCAGAGAAAGAAATTTAAACCGGAACAGGTGCAGAGTAGGGCTACTGCCATCATGTGCAGAGCAGACAGGCTATCTTTCAGAAGAGCTTAGTGTAGGTGGGGAGGGGATCTGGCTGTTCTCTCTACAGCCAGCAGGGGACAACCATCAAAAGAGGGAGAAGCAGCTGGCTGGCTCAGGAACAAGCACAAATAAACAGAGAATGAATGAACTAAGACTGAAAAAGAAAAATAATCAAAGATGGCTTGCTCAGAGCAGCGAGGCTGTGGAACAGCAGCTGTTGGAGGAATGGCATCACGCAACCCAAGCTTGTTTTAAAATAGAGCTGGACTGAGCTTTTAGAAGATGGTTGCCTGGGACGACAAGCAGCAACACCCAATGCCTGTGGGCAGTCACACAACCATAGAAAATGAAGGCGGGAAGGGACCTCAGGAGGTCCCATCTAGTCCAACCCCTGCTCAAAGCAGGGCCATCCCCAACTACATCCTACCAGTCCCAGTCTCGTGCAGGAGTTTAGGTGATGGACTGGATGGGAGGGTTTGGAGAGGGATGACCCTGCCTCAGGCCCGGGGGCTGCGCTAGATGCCTCTGGAGGGCCCTTCAGCCCCGCTCCTCTAGGACTTGATGCCTCGGGCCCTTCCCGTCCTGCCTTCCTGCCCCTGCTGTGCAAATCCCACCGCTGTGCCGACCCGACACCTAGAGCAGGACTCGCCGGCGCAGGACGCGGCCGCACGGGCAGAGAAAGGCGTGCCCAGGAGGGAGGACAAGGTCAGACCGCGCGGTGCTCCAGCCAGGGCCCCAGAGCCACGGGGCCGGCCCCAGGCTCCCCGGCCTCTGCCCTTCACGCCCGGG